CTTGTTTGGTAAAGTAGTGGGTTGGTGAAAATGACAGAATTTCTCAAGGAAATAGTTTGGCACAATAGCCATAATGTGATCTTTCATATACCAAAGATCATGAAGATGGTGAAGAACTGGGTAACATTTTATTCACCATGAGTTGGCACCAACTTGGGCATAACTAACAGTAATCACACACTGAATGAGAAGAAAGAAGACGGTATGCATTTGAATTATGATCCTGAGGATATCTAAAGTACTATGGACTATTAAAGAACAAACAAATCTGTCTTGGAACAAGTACAGCTAGAAGGCTCCTTAGAAAAAAGGATGGCGAGATTCCATCTCAGATAATTGGATATGTTATCAGGAAAGACTAAACCAACAGTCACTGCTATCAAGTCAAGGTCAACTCATGGTGACCATAAAGGACAGGGCAGAACTACTCCTTTGAGTTTCCAACGCTTGAGTTCTTCAAAGCAATAGCGGGCCCCATCTTACTTCCATGGAGTGCTGGTTATTTCGAACTGCTGACCTTGCAGTTAGCAGCCAATGCGTAACCATGACACCACTAGAGGCCCTATCAGGAGCGGCCTGTCTTTGGACAAGGACATCATGCTTGGCAATAGACGGGTCCTTAATAAAGAGAACAACCCTTGACAAAATGAACTGACACAGTGGCTACAACAATGGGCTCAAACTTAACAATGACTGTGAGGAGGACGCAGGATTGGGCAGTGTTTCATTCTGTTGCTGAGTCAGACCAACCCTAGGGCACCGAAAAAGCCAGCAATAACCACAAACTTCCCCTTTCTATACTACTTACTCCATGTGGAGTTAACTCGGTAGCTATAAGGGAGTCTAAAGAATATCACTCCCTATAATTCTTGTTATTGAATAGAGTCTGGATGCCGACTTAATGGGTCCTGAAGAATGGTGTTCAATCTTTCATGAAATTGGGCACAATGACCTTGCAGGTACATATTAATTCTAACTGTGTTTATTCATTCCAGAGTTGGAAGACAAAGATGAAGAATTTCTCACAGTGAAAGCTTATGGTCATCCTAGTTCATCAGAGTTGGATAGTTTTCAAATCACCTCAAACTTAGCACCTGCCATCAAAAGCAGCCTAGTATTAAATTCTTTAGTCAAACTCAGTTTAGGCACTTGGCCATAGCTAGCTTTCTTAAATTAATTTCCCACCGTGACACATGATGCTCATAGTGACTGCACTCTCTTGAACCGGTTCAAAAGCTATACTGTACACAATTTATTTTTCTCTTACTTAAAAAAGGCATTGTTTGAACATTGGTATATAAATGTGGCCCTGTATATTTCTGAATGGAATTAAATTCACTGTGTTCTTAAAAATATATTTTTCAAACTTTGGCATTTAATCTTTTTAATCTATGAGTTGTAATACGCTAAAAAGTTATGGCAAAATACCACTTGTGGGAAGAGCAATAAAAGATTAAAGATCCTGGATTCAGGAGGGTTGGCTTCTTTTTCTTTGACCTTGGCAGTTCGTTTCCTGTTTTCCTGTCTTGGTTTTGCTTAATATAAAAGAGGACTATTGAAGACTATACTTAACAGACTACAGAAAATGTATCTATGCATAAATTATTTCTCTATAAATAGTTCAATATATGAAATTCTATTCATCATTATCATAGTAGTCTAATTTCAGAGTCAGAGTAAGGCTCGATTGCTATGCAGAAGTACTGCACCATTTACTCAGCAGGATACCTTGTTTAAAAACTGTTGTAGCTGTTTTGTACCCCAGAGTCAGTTCCTACTCATAGTGACCCTCTGTACTGTAGAACCAAAACACTGCCTGATTTTATACTGCTCTCTCAATTATGGTTATAGTTGAGCCCATTGTTACAGTCCTTGTGTCACTCCATCTTCTTGAGGGATTTCCCCCTTTCACTGATGGTTGCCATACCAAACATGATTCCCTGTTGCCAATATTGGTTTCTCCTGACACACTTCCAAAGTTCGTGAGGGGAAGACTTGTCATTCTTGCCTCTAAGGAGCACCGGACTGTACTTAATCTAGGGAAGATTTGCTTGTTCTGTCACGGCACGTTCAATATTCCTTGCCAACACCTGAACATAAATGCATCTAAAAGTGAGATCATGTAAAGAGCAGCTTGATAAAGAGACACAATTTGACAACAGCAGAAACATCAGATAGTTACATCCCTAAATGTTCATACAATGCCACACATTTAGAAACTGCACACTAACCTAATTTGATATCAAATATTCAAATGTTCAGTGTCTTTTCATTAATTTGTAAGGGGTAAACTCACTATTCTCTTGTCATGATTTGCCTTTGTGTAGATTTAAGGAGAAGATTAAACATTAAAAATGAATTGCTCTAAAAGTTCTCTGATGCCTACTTAGATAGCTGGAAATAATTGGGACACTGGCAAGTTCTGCTAATGATGGTGAAATACCCCTGAGGGCTCATTAGCCAAAGCAAAGAAACTTCACCAGAGTTGCCTACAAACAGGGTATGTAGTAACAGTTTGAAAGCTCAAGAGGAAGGGATTATCCAAAGGTGCCATTTAAAAATCAAAGAAGAGACTTTTTGTAGCTGAGCTGCTGGCTTTTTAAATCTTATAAATTTACTTCTCTTCGGGTGATTTAAAAGTGGCCTGGGGCCCTGGGCATGGAGCTGTGTCAAATAAATTCATAGGTGAGAAAATTTTTTAATAAGTAAACAATGATAGAATTTAAGGTTTGAATGGACCATTAAAGTTTTATGGCCACCTATCAACTCCCACATTCTGAGATTTTACACCTTTACTTTAGCATGCCAAGCATCAAAAAAGTAGAATCAACTAAAACCTGACCAAATAGGAACGATTTGAATTGTTTTCCATGTTTCCAAATACATGCAAATTAGAATCAAATCTATATTCCAATTTTATCTAAATTGGCCCACATAATATTACAAGAAAGTATTTTCCTTTGATACACAATTAAAAAACCACCCTCAACACTCTTGTAAAAATTAGATACCATTCCAATAGGTGGACAATAGTTAATTTTATAATATTTCTAAGGTTACACATTGCATGCACTTTCGATGTGTTCATGAGAATTATACTAGTGTTGAAACTATTTGTACTCCATGGTTTTTTCTTTTAAAAGTGCTTTTCTTTAGAGTTTAATCCTAGGACAAGTATTAATGCATCAAGGAAAAATGAACGGTGATTCATTGTTATAAACCATGCCTTATTTTTACTGTATGAGTAATATTCTTTCATGGGGAGGCTATCTCACAATAAGAGGATTGCAAAGACACTTTTGTACTTCATTTTCACGTAGGTGGAATCTTGGCTAGTGAAAAAACATAGAAACTCTATACCTAGTTATCTTTGAAAGGAAAATAAATACATTCTAGCAGAATAAATCTTGTTTGTTTGTTTTTTTTGGCAGAATAAATTTTACTTTATATTTTCTCTAATCATTTTAAGTCCTGTAATTAGGTTGATTCTATGCATTCTATCGTCCATCTTCCAGCCAGGGGTGATGGATGGCAGAGGTGCTGGGCAGGATAAAGGTGCTGGGCAGGATAAAGAGGATTTTTATAGCAGGAACAGGAAGTCCATAGGAGAATCATTCATCTCATGGATTGATGAATAATGGCTCCCTGTTAATGAAGTACAAGGGGGAGAAATCACTAAAGTAATAATAAGGGCCTCTTTATGTGCATTACAGCGTCTAATAGATATTTATTGAATGAGTTCATATAAAGTAAGTACAGTTTACATGCTTGTATGCATATACAAATATATAAGTATATATATATGTGCATGCATGCATGCCTGGTATTTTATTTATCTGGACAACAATGTACTTGTTTCTCTTTTCAAAGTTACATTTCTATTTTAAAAAATTTGAAAATAAGTGTTACTTTAACTTGACAGAACTTGGGGGACTATATAAAGATGTACGTGTTTATTTGTTAGTTAAAAATCCCAGTTCATGAAGGTTGCAAATATACTTAATGAGATTTAGCAAAATTGTTTGTACAATTTAACTTTATGAAATGAATAAGATTAATTATCCAACATTAAAATTACCTTGAAAATCAAATGACCCGGCAATATATTCTTTCCTGGAGCCAATTAATGTTTCCATATTCACCCTAGAGGGCTACTAGAAATGATTAAACTGGAATGCGGTCTCCTTCCAAGAGTTTTTTCATGTTCCTCATAAAGTAGAGAGTAATGAGACAGAGTTGAAGGACCAGGGCACTTGTGTTCCCAGGTTTATGGACTGGGTATGCATGTGCATTCTGACACACGATTACATAGAAAGTATGCCAATCACTGAAGGTTGATATGTCACTCTGTAAGTGCTAGACATTGCAGACCTCATGGCAGACATATTACTAGGTACAACAGGGAGGTATCCATGAATAGCATGGGTTGTGGTAGGTGCCAGCATGGATATTTCCAACCACTTCCCTAATCTAACTCCCCGTGATACATATTTCTTGACAGGAGATAATGCCTTTCATTTCATCATTTGAGCTGGAGGCACAAAGGAAAATTCTCCTGGCAGAAGAAAAAGCTCCACTTCAAAGCTCCAAGATACGTCTCACAGTTATAGTGACTGTCACAATCCATCTCAGTTACAATGACTGAGCTCACTAAGGGGCAAAGCAGAGCGCAGCGGTCCCATGGGCGTGACGGCAGCATGAGAACCAGTTCTCCACACGTGCAACTGACAGAGTATTTTCCCAGTGAAGGACCTGTCAAATGTTGCCCCGTAGAAGATGCTTCATAGGTGTCAAGAACTAGATGTCTGAACATAAGCCAAATACACATGGAGGAAGTAGGAAAGAATAATTGAAGCAATTCCTGTGGTGAAGGGTGCCAGGGACATGCTTCCTAAGTATGACAACTACCCTATTCAAATGGTCACCCTTCCAGGATTAATGAGGAGACACCTTCATCTTTTCGCAGGTCAGCCGAGTCTCCGCAAGCTATCCCTCCCCCAATGGATCCTCACATGCCTCCCAACAATGTGACTGAATTGATTCTGCTGGGCCTCACGCAGAATCCACTCTTGCAGAAAATACTGTTCGTGGTCTTCCTATGTGTTTTCCTCTTTACCATGCTGGCCAATGTGTTCATTGTCATCACCATCTCTCTCAGCCCCACCCTTTCAGCCCCCATGTATTTCTTTCTCACCTACCTGTCCTTTATAGATGCCTCCTACACCTGCGTGACCACACCCAAAATGATCATCGACCTGCTCTGGCAGAGGAGAACCATCTCCTTGGCTGGCTGCCTGACTCAGCTCTTTGTAGAACACTTCCTAGGTGGGTCAGAGATCATCCTCCTCATAGTGATGGCCTATGATCGCTATGTAGCCATCTGCAAGCCCCTGCACTACACCACCATCATGCGACGGGGCCTCTGCCGGCTCCTGGTGGTGGTCGCCTGGATTGGTGGGATTGTTCACGCCACAGTACAAATTCTCTTCATGATCAACTTGCCCTTCTGCGGCCCCAATACCATCGATCACTTTATGTGCGACCTCTTCCCACTGCTGACGCTGGCCTGCAGAGACACCTACCTGCTTGGCATGGTGGTGGCGGCCAACAGCGGAGCTATGTGCCTGCTCATTCTGTCCATGTTACTCATCTCCTACGTGGTCATTCTGAGATCCCTGAAATCTCATGGCTCCGAAGGGCGACGCAAAGCTCTCTCCACCTGCTGCTCCCATTTCACGGTAGTTGTACTCTTCTTTGTGCCCTGCATATTCACTTACATGCGCCCTGTGGTCACCTACCCAGTGGACAAATTGGTCACTGTGCTTTTTGCCATCTTAACGCCCATGTTAAATCCTATTATTTATACAGTGAGGAATGCAGAGGTGAAACAGGCCATGAGACGCTTGTTGAAGACCAGGGTGACTTAAGAGGAGAGATCTGATCTGTGGTCAACTGTGAGAGTGCAACTGTTGTTGCACTTTTGGTTTTGTCTGTAGTAAGAAAAGTAGGACTCCTAGTGGCATAGTGGCTGACACATTGGTGTGCTATCCACAAAGTAGTCAGTTCGAACCCAGCCGCTGCTCCATAGAAGAAAGGTGAGGCTGTCAACTCTCAAAATGATTTACAGCTTTTGAAACTCAAAAGGACAGTTCTTCTCTGTCTTAGTGAGTCACTATGAATCAGAATTCATTCAGTGGACTTAGTTTGGTCTTTTGGAAGTAACATAGAGGGGAAAAAGTTATATGTAATACACACACACACACGCAAACACACAAAGGCCTGAGAGAATGTTCCAATGTTATTATTCCAAATATGTTATATTTACATTGAATGAAGTTTAAATGATTTAATCTATGTATTAAATAGGTAATTTCAATAGCATATCCCCATTTTACTGAGAAGAAAAAGAAGCCAAAAGAGGATTTATAACTAGTTTGCTTCAGATCACATATCTAAACTCAGCTACAAAGTTTAACTCCAGGTCTTCAATACCTCAATGATCTTCTATTTAAAATAAAGAATGATTTGCTGTGGCATGTTTATGTCTACATATACAGGGCATTTGTTTTCAGTGTCCATAATCTGTTTTATCCTCCAAGAAAGATGATGTGTGTCAGTCTTTCTCTTGCAGCAACATCTATCAGCTCTAATCATTCTTTATGCACATGAATAATACTGGGTCATGCTTCTCCACATGATCTCATGAGTCGAAGTTTATTTGGTGATAACGATCTCATTCATCTTGCTTCTCACCCATGTTTCATTTTTCCAACTCTTTTGTCATCTGGAATTATTCCCTCCTTGATTTGACCAGACAGTGAGGCCAGAACCTGGTATGCTTGTTCTTTTAGGTGAGTGTGTCTCTTTGCTTACACAAGCTTGTCTCTAATTCCTAAGAAAAAGAATCTGGTTCCACAATGTACAGTCCCAGAACATGATACAAATCAGCACCTATAGATTAAGAATGATCAAAGATGAAATTGCTGGTGAGAACTAACTGTTCCCACAGAAGCTAGGCGACACGATTCAGGGTTCACTTTGTGTCATGGCTGTTAGATGAGAGTAAGTCAAGAGCAAGTATAAACGAAGTATTGAGCACATGCCTTTTCTATTGTAGAAAAAATGAAAGTATTTTTAAGAAAGAAATCAAAGTAATGACCGTCTTAGGGAAATATCAGATGCCAAGAAGAGGGGATGAGAAGACTACTAACTTATAAAGTATAAATTATTAAAAGAAAACTTGGAAGGTATAAAAACGTAAGGAAGCATGAGACAGTCTGACATTTTCATGGAATGGAGTCTTGTTGCTTTGGGAATAATGCTAAAGAATTAGATACTCTTTTGTACTAATCATGAAGAATCTTGTGTGTGGGCCAATTTTCATCTGATTATTTATGGCTATTAAATATAAAACCACTTAAAAGAAATTATGCATATTGTCTAAAAATTAATACCAAAATCAAAACCAAACTTGCTGCCATTGATTCTATTCTGACTTATGGTCTCCCTATAGCACAGGGTAGTACTACTCCAGTGAGTTCCCAAGGCTGCACTGGTGGTTCTGAACTGTTGATCTTGCAGTTGGTTGCTAAAAGCGTAACCCACCAGGTATCCCCAATACGACTATCATGTATCATATATAATTTTTTGTGAAAAGATGAATTGATATAATTTGGGAAAATATTACAAACAAACAAACAAACAAACAAAAACCCCATTTAGAAACATGTCATACCTCCATAATAAAAACCAAGAAACAGATATTCAAATTAATAAATGGACAAAGGACATGAGAAGTTCATCAACAATGACATCCAGATGGTTAACAAGCATCGGAGAAAATGCTCACAATTGTTAGCCATCTGGAAGATGCAAATCAAAACAATGATGAGATACTACCTTATACTAACATTGACAGCCCAATTAAAAGCACCAACATCAACAACAAGTGCTAGAGAGAGCACAGAAAGAATAGAACTCTCAGGCATTGCTGGTGTGTACATCCATTATGGAAAGTAATATGGTACTACCTCAAACAATTGGGGATAGAAATTCCATACAATCCTGTAATACACCTGCTGGGTATATATCCTAAAGAATAGCCATAATGTGGACAGGCACATGCACTTCCATGTTCAACAAAGCCCTGTTCACAATAACAAGAAGTTGGGAAAAGCTGAAATGCCCATCAGTAGAAGAATGGACAAAGAAACATTGGTACATACACCCAATGGAATAATATGCATCACTGAAAAATAATTATGGGATCACAAAAAACCTTGTGACATGGATGGACCTGGAGAACATTATGCTGAGAGGAATTAGTTAATCACAAAAGGAACAAATGCTGTATGAGACCACTACCATACCAGAGGGAACAGACTGGAGATCCCCAAAGGATGAGCTGAGGAAGCAATGGACTAGAAAGTTGGCAAGTATTAAGTTGGTTGAAAGGGAAGATGGAGCTCCATAAGGGAGAGAAGAGAAATTGGGGGTGCGGTGGGGGTGGGTCTGTGTAGTGGTATTGGTAAGTGGTCTGTACTGTATTGGTAAGTGGTCTGTACTGTTGAATGAAAAGTTCATGATCTGAAATGGAAACCCATCGCCTACCTCCAACCTAATTCACAATAAAACAAATTCATGAGAAAACAAAAAATGATTCCACTGGACTCCCTTTCCATCAAGGTGATTCCAGTTTCCAGTGACCCTATAAAGGGTGTCCAAGGCTATTCATATTCATGGGAACAGATGATGTCTTCTTCCTTACACAGAGCAACTGGTGAGTTTGGATGCTGAAACAGAGGTCAATTAGCTTCCCTAGCAATGTGATTAAGTCTCCTTCAATAATCAGGTGAAGTGATAGAAAAATGCAGTTGCAGTACTTGCTAGATGATCAAGAAGAATCAGACAGATTGCCTTTAAAAAAAATAAAGAGTTCTACATTATCAAGTAGATAGAGCATTGTGTGGTCCTTCTGTTCCTGATGGCTACAGCTAAGTTCTGGAGTAACTAATGGAATGACTAATACTATGATAAGGAGCCCTGGTGGGTCGTGCATTGGGCTGTTTATTTACCAAATGGCCAGCAGTTCAAAACAACCAGCTGTTTAGAGGGAGAAAGATGTGAGTTTACATGCCTACAAAGAGTTAGCATTTCAGAGACCCATTGGGGCCAATCTACTTTGTCCTGTGCAGTCACTATGAGTCAGAATGGACTCGCTGGCAGTGAGACTACTATGAGCCAGTTTTGTACTTCTTGATAATCAGCATGGCCTGGCTCCAGTGACTTAGCCCCTGGGAGCAAATGATCACTTCAGGGGTGAATGGAGAGTCATTGCATAGTGATTAGCATCCCAGTCAGTAGAGACCCAACCTCAAAGGGATGTGATTGCAATGACGCAAGCTGTCACATTTCCAGTATTTGGAAATGGAACTCTGCCCACAGGTCCATTACCCAAAGGAGGTCATCTTATTCATGGTGTTTCTTCCAAGATACATAATGCAAGCTGCTTTGAGATTAAGTTTAAATACAACAAGATGATATGCACAATTTCTTAAATGGTTTTGGCACAGTTTTCCTGGCTGCCTTTTTGACCTTTAAATTATTCTGCTAACCACACACGTTGTTTGCTATTTAAGCCCTCAGGTAGTGAAAGCATCTGTTTCAAATTTATCTTGAAAACTCTTAGACGGTCTACCCGTGACTGTCGAAGTCTATCCAAATAATCGCACACTATGTGACAATCGTTTGTTTCCTGTGTAGGTCTTGATTTACTTGACTCTAAATGGGAAACCAAGTTGAAACCCTCAGTTGCATCTCTGTCGTGATTGTAGCTCTTTTATAACCAGCTTCATGTAAGTAAAGTCCTGGATGGAGTCAGCCCTTTGGTTACTCTGACCTGATGCTGGAAAGATGATATGGAGAGTCTCCTCTCTGCTGTAGTCTCAGACCATTGGGTCACAGGGGGAATGGCTGACTTCCCCGAGCCACAGAACACACACCACAGTGAGCTCCGGAGGCAGCCTTAAAAACCTAAGCACTAAACATGTTCCTATTAATTTGAGTTGTTATTTTGAAATTGCTGAAATAATTGAATAACTTAAAGACACACATAATTACACTTAAATGTGTTAATAATTTCCTTCTTTGTTTTATTTGTTACACAAATTGAAACCTCAGGGTGGAACATCTTCAGCTATCGGTAATTTTTAACTTGATTTGCTTTCATTCTTTTTGGCACATTGTCAAAAGGTAAGTGTCTTAGGATTATCAAATAAAAGAGCATGTATAGAAGAGAATATGCATATTTGCTTTGGAGATGAACTTGAAAAGAGCAGAGGGAATATCTGGTATAATGAAGATAGCTTTAGAAACGTTTTCCTTTTCCCTTCTTTCATTCTATACTATTTCAATCTCCTGTAAATGTATATTTAAAATCATTTGCATGTTTACTATATTTGCCTATGTTTGTTTTAATACATATTATATTTAAATACATAAGAGAGTGTGTGAATTTTCATATACGTGTACTTGCCATTGACTTGATTCTGACTCATGGTGACCTTATAGGGCAGAATAGAACTTCCCCATAAGGTTTCCTAGGTTATAATCTTTTAGGAAACAGATAACGACATCTTTAGCCTATTGGGATATTGGTAGTTTTAAAACTTGTCCATTAGCAGCTGAGAAGCTGAGCATTATACCACCAGAGCACTCTCTCTGTATCTATAGCTATATATATATATATATTTATCCTATCTACATTGATATGTGGTCATGTGTATCTAGATGCTATATATACATGAGGGTGTACCGCTCCCCCACAAAAAACACAACAAAAACCCACGGAATTGTGCTGGGGACAGTGGAGCTTTCGTGGTAGGCTTTTTCCCGCTACATGAACATTGAGAAACTTGTCCTGAGTCAG